GGTGCTCTATCCGACTCAGGCGATGGGCTGAATACTCGTGTAGCCTGGTATGTCAAGGAAGACGTTTCCACCGGTTCCAGGCCTTACTCGTGGACTGATTCGCACAGGCCATCGGCCGACTGGGGGAGCCTTCCACTCGAGGGGGGTATCGAGGCCGCGTACAAACGGCAACTGGACGCCGCTCCTTCTCCAGCAGCTCGCGAAAAGATGATGAAGGATCTCTTGGCGAAGTTCGAGGATGTCCGCGATCCAATTCGTACGGCAAATGTCTTCGGCATCGAGGAGATCATTGACCCGAGGAATACTCGGCCCCTGGCGTGCGAAGTGAGTGTTAACACACTGAATGTTTACCACCGTGATACCAAATCCGCCTTGCAGTGGATCAGCCATGCCTACAGCGATCTCCTGCCACCGCGTCTCATTTCCAGACAGGCCTCTAGCGCCGGGATACCCGAGAAATACAAGCTGTAACCTTATCCTCTGTAGTTCATCTATCTCCCGGAAACCGCCAGCTCTAGGGCCCTGAATGCAGGGTACAGCATGCACGCCAGTACGGACCCAACGATGATGCCGATATCACCAGTGCCAGAGCTCGCGATTGGGCCGGTGTACCACGCCTGCGCCATGCAGGGGACGATGATGCCGCAAGCGCAGAGGAAGGCGAGAACTGCTGCAAAGCCGAAAGGCAGCTCTTTGGGTTTGCAGTATTGCGAGAGGTCGTAGCGTGTCCAGTCGTTCTTGCGGAACACGAGGTGCTCGACAACGACGATCGCGGCGAAGACGGCGCTCCAGTATCCGATGACGCCTGTTGATACATGACCACCAGAGACGCGAAGAGATGAGTTAGACTACAAACTGAGGACGTCGACGAATGTGGTGTAGAAGTGTGTCGCGCCAACGATCGCAACAGGGATGAGGCTGCACCGGGAGTCAGCCTGAGCATCGTATGAAGGGTATCGGGACTTACATAGCCTCCGACACGATTGTGTAGACGTATCGCGGCACCCGCGCAAACCAAGCATGGATCGTCATGAAGCTGGAAGCGAAGGTGTACATCGTCGGGGCGCATGCGCTCGGGATGGAGAGCGCGAGCAGCACGACCAGAAACTTGCCAAACCCGCCCGAGGGAGAGAGGACGGCTTGAATAAGTCCACCGACATTGTTCCCCTGATCAAAGCCTGCTTCCCAGGAAGGCACCCCTGGGGCTGCAGCTGCGAAGGCTGCGCCGAGCATGTGCGCGGCGAACTGGGGAAGGTTACAGTGAGATAGGCAACTCTGAGTTCAGCATGCACACATACGCTGGCGATGAAGAAGCCGGTATAGCTATAGAGGAACACTTTCATGCTGCAGCAGAGAATGAGTGCTATGAGTACGTGCCCGCGTGTGCAGAAGATTCCAAGCCTCACCTTGACGTCTTGTTCGTGTGGTACACTCCGTAGTCGGGTGTCATTACACACCAACTGATGACACTCGAGGCGGTCGTGGTGGCGAAAGAGATCACCGCGGACGCTGACGGCGGAGGGGGCGCTGGGGCCTCTGCGAGGTGCTTCCCTCCCAGCCCGAGCATTACGAGGAAAGTAATGACACTGGGGATCCACGCAATAGTCTCATACCTGGGTCGGAGTAATTTACCTCCAAGAGTGTGACGAAGAAGAACCAGGACTCACCAGTGGATAACGCGATACCCAAAGAACGTGACCTAGTGTCCTTGTCAATTGTAGAACGTACCTGACCAAATGGCGAAACCTACGACGAGAGACAGGACACCCGTGATGATGATACCCAGGGTATCATCCAGATGGGACGATACACTGGCGAGTATCTGGCCGCCAACGATACAATTCAGTATCAAGAAGCCTTGCATCGAAAAGACAGTGAATGCGCTGGGAAGTATTGATCCATAGTACCTGCGAGCCGGTATCAGTGCAAAACATGGTGAATGACCTACGACACCAGGAGAAACTACGTACCCCCAGGAGTAGCGTGCCATTACCATAGAACGCATGCCCAGCTTCGGGCCGAATACGGCACTGTCAACCCAGTATTAGCCAGGATGCTGCGGGGCGTTGCCGTGCACGAGTCCTGACAAGTACGCCGGTACCACGCATGAGCTATTTCGCACGTCAGACATTCTGCTCGCCCAGGAACTCGCAGTACGACGTACATGAGATCCACTACGAGCAGTATGAGGAAGGAATCCCGCAGGCCGAGTCCGAAGAAAGCAGGTCCTGCAGAGCCCGTGCCAAAGCTACACAGGTACGACAATGGTTCATCCAGACATACTCTTGGCACACCCTCAAACATATCACGCACGTCAAGATGTTGATATTCGCCGAGAACCACACGAAAAACATCTGGTACAGTCTGGTATCAGTCCTATCTTCCGGCAATATCGGGTTGATCCTGGTTCGCTATGATCAGCGCGCGTTATCGTCAAGACCGGTCGCGTGGACACGAACCCATTCGTCTCGATCCCCCAGTGGGACAGAAACTCAGTGAGTGATGCGAACCACCGTTGCACCTTTGTCGGAGGGGGGCCGTCCTCGAGTATGCTCCTGGTCTTCTCGTCTTCTACTGAATCCATGCCGAGGATGGTGGTGGCAAGGATCAAAGGAGGACAGGAGCGAGCGGTTGATAGAGCGGCGTTCAAACTGCATGAATTTTGCTGCACGTGAAGTGGAAGTCGTGACGGTCCGGCGCCGAAGCCGGGCAGATGAGTCCGGAAGGTAGATAGGCAGATGGCTAAGGGCGCTCGTAGGTATAAATTGCGGCGAGACCCGACTGCGGGGAAGGGAGGAATCGGCGTCTTCGTGGCGACATGGTGGCGCCAGTAAGACGCCGGGATGTGAGAAGGTGCGTTCGCCTGTTATGATACATTCTTCATGAAGAAGGCCCTTGAACAAAACAGCGAAGCGTACGCACTACACCATCGGAAGTTGCATCGTAGGTCTCAGAGAAGACTCATTTTGACGCTCTCTTTTCATAGTCCTCCACAACCTACAAAACAATCGCCGATGAGGAGGGATGATATCACCCGCGAGGGAAGTCTTACCTCTTGGAAGTTGTCAGGCCGCCAATGCATCTCGACTTTGTCGAGCTGGTCCTCAGGAAGGTACCACTCGAGGAACAGGAAGAAGAGGCAGTCGACGATGAGTATAATAGAGTAGATGATTCCAGCGAAACGGCCTAGTTGCAGCGTCCTGCATCGTGCATTAGAGCGTCGCTGCGCTGCAGAGTCGGCCAACCTACCGGTGAAGTCGTGTCCAGAAGTCATAAGGGGGAGTGCTTAAGACGGAGCGGTACACAAGCTCTGTCCTGTGGGTGATCTCTCTCCAGTCGTAGAAGCCCTTGATGCGCTCATGGGCGGCAAATGGGTCATGTTTACCAGCGGACACGAGCTGAATCGCCTCAGACATCGCACGGACAACATCTGCACGGAATAGCGAGATGGTGTCACACGGACGGTAAACGTGGGAAGAGCGTCTTTGACGCACCATCTTCGTCCGGGTTCGCGAAGGATATCATGTCCTGTGGAAGGACTTCTGGCAGCCCACCAACGCGGGTGGAAACGACGTAGAGGCCTGCGCAGGCCGCCTCTACCGTTGCGATACCGAACGCCTCCGTGAGAGAGGTGTTCATGAATATTGAGCCTTGCACCAGCACCTAAAACAACTTTTCCCAGGTGCTGTGAAGGCGAAATGCAGGCTTGGACTCACGTTACGGACATCGCTATGGCGGATGGGTCCCAATATCTCGATGCGGTCTTGCAGCAGATATTTCTCCCGCATTTGTAACAGCTCTATCATTTTGGGGCCGTCGCCCCCTGTGCGCGAGTAGCCGGTCAATGAAAGGCACAATGTCCGGCTCGTGTAGGACCTCACCAATGAGGAAGCGCACGTTCGGGAATAGGGCGCAAATCCGTGGAGCAGTGGCTACCAGCAGATCGATGCCTTTCCTATAGGCTAGCCGTGCAATCACCACAATGGTAACTATCCAGTCAGTAGACGTGAGTTATACGAAGGTCCGAGACATTCTGCGGCTCTACTGACTGGTATCCCGGGAAGGTGGGGTAGGTGAAGGCTTGAATTGATCCGCTACTAAAGCATTCGGGATGACATACACGGTCTCCGGGTGTACTTTGGCCCTCAAGACTGTGTTTTCGCGCCTATGAAATCGTGTAAGCGCAGTCCATTCGCGTTTTATGAAGTACTGCGCTGTACCCTGTATGGGAGACGCATATGACGGCGTCAACATTGCGTAGTGCCCCTTCAAGCAACTTGTTGGTCAAGATGCTTGCAGCATCATCGAATCCAAAAAGACTATGGTCCGTGAAGACCGTCCTCACGCCCATGTGATGCGCGTGCAAAATTCCTTCGTGCGCCAGCGAAGAAAGGCCGCCATGCCCATGTACCAGTTGTATGCCTTCTCGTAAGACGATAGTCCGGAAGTAAGGCAGGAAGGTGAAGTAGTTTGGCAGCGTCGCCGAAGATGCTATGGTCGGGAATGGGATGTAGTACACCTTCAATGACGGTGCCAACCACCTTATCCCGACACGGTCGGGTGGATGGCTGTGGGTTATGACGATGACCTATCTACTGGTCAGCGCAAAAGACACGTCAGGCACATGAGTACCCGTACCTTATGTCCGCGGCGGATGAGATCCGCACTCAACATGTATATATGGCTCTCCACTCCGCCTATCCCAGGGTGGAAGAAGTCGCACACCATGCTGTCTCAGAAGTTTCCATTAGCATATACAGCCTAGTGAGCTGAACGCTCAGCCTTACGCGATGTTGATACCCATCATAAGCACCTGTTCACATTCGGGGCATATCGACTGAAAGGCGTGTTCAGCGGAATGCCTGCAGCCTCAGCAGGCCTCAGTGCATACCACAGGGAGGGAGGTTGGTGGAAGGAGAAGGTACACGGCGATATATTAGGTTCGACGTCTCCAGAAATGGCTCTAATGTAAAGTTCTATGTACAAGTAAATCACTCAACGGTTCGATGGTGTAGTTGGTTATCACGTCTGTCTCACAAGCCAGCGGTTGGCTGCGCACAGGAGGTCTCCGGTTCGAGTCCGGGTCGAACCATTTTGTCTCCTATTCAACAATGCGCAGTGGCCCAGCCAAATGAGCTCGTCCAAGCAACGGCGCGAACGGCACAGCGTCATTAGGGTGATTCTGCTGGAGTAATTCTTACATCGCTTAGCATCGCTTAAGGCGAGTGGCGCCACCTGATTGGCTGGAGCCCATAAGAATTCTTACAGCAGAATCACTCTATTGGAAGCGCCCGTCTTGCGCCCATTACATAGAAGCGATACCGGGGCGTCGAGCTCGGCGCACGTTCTTTGTTTGCTGTCCCGTTGCTCGTTCTTGCTATACTATCTCTTTCCCTCTCCCCATTCTCGCTGTCTCTTTTCCTTTGTTTGCCCGCCATGGCCACTTTGGACAAGACCGACGTCGGCACGCCCGTGGACGAGGACGCGCCAGGACAGGCGATATCGGTGCCCGACACAGGCGACACCGGCGAGAGCGGTAAGCTCAAGATGATTGTCCAGCTCGTCAAGAAGTGCCTCGGCGTGAAGGACATCGCTGCGATGTAGGTCCCAAAGGGGCGCCCTCGTCTGTGCAACGTTCGCGGTGTCTGACGGAACCGTACGCCAGGCGTCTCTCGCTCCCCGCCTCGCTGCTGGAGCCCATCCCGAACCTCGAGTATTGGCACTACTTGGACAGGCCGGACCTCTTCGCTGCGTGAGTCGAATGCGTATGACCTGGGAAGGGACGTGATAGACTGAACGAGATGCGCCCGCCCAGCGTCAATGATTCTGACGATCCCTTCGAGCGTATGCTGGCCGTACTCAGATTTACCTTCTCAAAGGACCTCAAGTTCATCGTCGGTTATCTTCTCCCTCCTTGACGTCGGCCGCATGCTTACATTACTGCAGAGGGGGAAGGTTTGCAAGCCATACAACTCCGTGCTCGGCGAGCATTTCCGGTCGCACTGGGACGTGATACCAGTCTCTTACCCTTCGGACCCGAACGAGCCTCCAATCCACCACCTGTACGTCTCTGCGCCCGTGCCGGACAACGCCGGCGCGTCATGGTTCAACGGCCCTGCAACACACTCTATGCCCGACGTCGCACACCCGTCTCTCTCGGAGACCGCGAGCGTCAAGAGCGGCAAGAGCGCCTTCAGCAGATTCAGCTTCATGTCACGAGAGCCCCCCGCCACGGCCAAGTCAACGCCCGGCACGTCCCCCGAGCCCGTCGAGAGCAACCTCGAGGCTGGCGTCTCCAGTCTCAGCCTGACGAACGACCGCGCGTCGGGCGCAGCCGACCTCCTAGAGACGGACGAGACGGCTGCGGACAAGCCGCGCGTCCGCATCGCCTACCTTACGGAGCAAGTCTCGCACCACCCGCCCGTCTCGGCATTCTACGCGGTCTGCCCCAGCCGTCACCTCGAGCTCGTCGGCATCGACCAGATCTCCGCCAAAGTGTCCGGGACGACCCTGCGCGTCATGCCCGGCTCGTTCAACAAGGGCATCTTCGTGCGCATCACCGGCGAGCCCGGCGCGGGCGAGACGTACCACATCACGCACCCGGTGGCCTCTGTGAACGGACTGCTGCGCGGCAGCTTCTACGTCACGGTCGGCGACTCGACGATTATCACCTGCTCGGGGGGCAAGGACGGCCCGAAGCTGCGCGCGATCATCGAGTACAAGGAGGAGTCGTGGCTCGGGCGCGCGCAGTTCCACTGCGAGGGCGTGATTCACACGTACGACCCGAAGGAGAGCGTGCACGAGGAGTGGACGCGCGTGAAGCACGTCCCGCGCGATAGGGTGCTGGCGGTATTCGATGGCTCATGGAGAGGCCGGATCCGCTGGAAACGTGTGGATGCTCCGGACAGCGAGTATGCGACGCTGATCGACGTGTCGACGCTGCACGTCGTCCCGAAGGCGGTGCGCCCGCTGGAGAAGCAGCTGCCGAACGAGAGCAGGAAGCTGTGGGAGAACGTGACGGATCGGCTGTTGAAGAAGGAGTATAGCGAGGCGACGAAGCACAAGCTCGCCATAGAACAGAGGCAGAGAGACGAGGCAGCAGAACGGAAGCGCAAAGGAGTCAAGTGAGTACTGCATCGACGTTGATGACTTCGGTGGCTTATGTGCTCGCAGGTTCGTGCCTCGCTATTTCGACCCTGACATCTCGTCGGGGATACCGGCGCTCACCGAGGAGGGCCGGAAGGCCATAGAGGAGGAGCTCAAGGAAGCGGCCGAGCACAAGCTAGAGGACGGGGCGTCGTCCACCCCGCCGGCGGCGACCTCTACGGCATGAACGTCACGATCTACACGAATGCGCTGACCCGATCTATCTCTCGCATGCTTGGCCAGTGCTGTAAGTTAGGCATACATATACCACTGACGACCACGACCTCCCTTTCGTCGCTTCTCGCACGGACCCAGTAGGCACTCATGTACGAAGCGGAACGGAGGTAGTTGAGGATCTCTGAGTCACGATATATAAGCAGCAGCATTTCCACGTCTGTACATACAACGCATTGCCTTTGGACGATTTTTCCGCTGAGATTGAGAGTGCTTACGCGCTCGGGTAGATGATGCGGTGAGCGCCTCGATCGCGTCGACGGTCGCGACACGGACGCGTTTCGCTCTCGCCTCTGCTCCGTCGACACTGAGTTCTGCGACGACGACGACGTGCGGATGCTCGCCTCGAGGGCCGCTGTCCGACGGATCCCTCGAGCTCGACCAGCGCGGCCTGTTCTATCGCAACATCTGATAACATCGACCCACGCCAAAACGGTCGAGTCAATCTGCAAAAGCGCCGAGTCCTGCTCCTCCTCGCCGTCCGCCGCTGCGTCTGCTTATTCTCGTCCTCGTCGTCTGTCTCTCGCTCTGTCACTTCATTCTTCTGCCACGATGGCCTCGCTGGAAGCTGTGAACCAGGCGCTCTCCAAGCTCTCCATCAGCCCCGCCGCAACGGTCTCGCATGCACCCACAAACTCCCCCCAGTCCTGGCGCGAGGCCCTCGAGGCCAGCTCCTCCGCCCCGAAGCCCTTTGAGCTGGTCAAAACGCTCGTCTACAAGCCCAAGACGGCGAAGACGGCGACCCCCGTGCCCGTGTTCGTGATCGCGCGAGAAACGACGGACGTGCCTTCAGGAGTCCTCGGCAAGACTCTGAATTTGAAAGACCTCCGTCTCGCGTCCGAGGATCTCCTGAAGGAGTTCTTCGACCTAGATAAAAACTCCCGTGAGTCTCACTCCTTGCATCTGAGTGTATGCAGAGGGAGCGATGGGCGACTGGTCTTCGAGCTTCTCATGCGCTCCGGCTCAAGATTTCCTGGAGTGCACGGAAGCTCTGTCCCCACCCCGGCTCCTGCAGGATGTGTGGATGAATGGCGGCAATCTGACAGTCGTTCTGTACAGTATCCCCCCTCGCTCTCAACGCACAAACATATCCCAAGATCACGACGGTGATCGACTCCGCCATCGCCAACTCTACCTCGACCTTCGCCGTCCGCTGCCTCTCCTCCGAATCCACCGTCTTCCTCTCCGGCAAGGACCTCTATGCATACGTGAAGCAGTTTGCCACTGAAGGCGCTCCTGCACTCCACGAACTCGACATCGCCAGCCTCCAAGCCACCGCGAACGAGGGTGCCGCGTCAAAATCTGCCCCCACGAATAAGGGGAAGGAGGATGCGAAGATCGAGGGCGCTGTCCAGATCGCTATCGGCGTGAAGAAGGAGGTCGACTTCCCGACCTGGTACACGAACGTGCTCATCAAGGCCGATATGCTGGACTACTACAATGTTAGCGGCTGCTATATCCTGAGACCCTGGTCGTACAGTATCTGGGAGATCATCCAAGGTGTGTTGTCGACGTCGAGCGGCATATCCGATGCTTGCGTGCTGAAATCGTGTCTAGAATGGTTCAATGGAAAAATTCGGGCAATGGGCGTGCAGAACGCGTACTTCCCCATGTTCGTGTCTTCGAAGGTCCTGGAGCGGGAGAAGGATCACGTCGAGGGCTTCTCTCCCGAAGTCGCATGGGTCACGCGAGCGTATGTGCGATGATATTCACCGTTCCTCCAGGACGCTCACAATCCGCATGCAGAGGTAACTCGGATCTTGAAGAACCGATTGCCATTCGTCCCACATCTGAGACTGTGATGTATCCCTGTACGTTCCCTCCTCAGCCGTCCTAGAGCATGACTCTGACCTGGAGTCACAGATTACGCCAAGTGGATCCAAAGCCACCGTGATCTTCCCCTCAAGCTGAACCAGTGGAACAGCGTTGTCCGCTGGGAGTTCAAGAATCCTCGTAAGTATCTTCCGCTCAGGAATCGAGCACAGGCTGACGAAGATCGTAGAGCCCTTCCTCCGCACTCGCGAGTTCCTTTGGCAAGAGGGCCACACCGCTCACCTCACCAAGGCCGAGGCCGACAAGGAGGTGCTCGAGATTCTCGACCTCTACCGCCGCATATACGAGGAGCTCCTCGCGGTGCCCGTCATCCCCGGCATCAAGTCCGAGAAGGAGAAGTTCGCGGGCGGGCTCTACACCACGACCGTCGAGGGCTTCGTGCCGACGACCGGCCGCGGCATCCAGGGTGCGACCTCGCACTGTCTCGGCCAGAATTTCTCGCGCCCGGAGATGTTCAACATCTTCGTCGAGGACCCGAACGATCCCTCCGGCCAGGGCAAGGCGTACGTCTGGCAGAACTCGTGGGGCCTGTCGACCCGCACGATTGGCGTTATGGTCATGATCCACGGTGACAACCAGGGCCTCGTCCTCCCGCCCCGGGTGGCGAGCGTGCAGGTCGTCGTCGTTCCCTGCGGTATCACGGCCAAGTCGACCGAGGAGCAGCGCGCGGCTGTCAACAAGGCTGCTGAGGACCTCGCAGATAGCCTGATCAAGGCTGGTATCCGCGCTCGTGCAGATCTCCGCGATGTCTACACCCCTGGATTCAAGTTCAACGACTGGGAGCAGAAGGTGAGCGCATCTGGTCTTGCACGAATCTTCGGAGACTGACCATCGGATGTCAGGGTGTTCCCCTCCGTCTCGAGATTGGCCCTGCGGACC